TTCTGGTTCTCTTGTGTTCCTAATTATAGGAAAACATTCAATAAGCTCATTTTTGGAAACTATTGAACCCTAATAAGGACTCCATCAGCCTCCACCCTCAGAGTAATCCCCCCCACCCACAGACTTTCCTCACAGCTCCAGCTGCAGTAAAGGAGGATGGATGGAAGATGCACAGAAATCTAAGCAGACATTATTTCCCTTTCTTCCTGCTTTTGTAACAGTTTCCCAGCAGCTCTGTCTGCAGCATGGAGGAATAATTGATGATGATGATGATGACGATGATGATGGAGCCGGTCTGAGCCGCCCTGATCTGCCGGGTGTGCGCAGCGCCGCGCAGCGCAGCGCCGCCCTCCGCAGCTCCAGCCCCACTCAGGAAACCTCTCCTCCAGCCGTTCCCACGGACACACGCATCTTTCCACGGCAAGGTCACGAAGCCGCACTCAGCATTTCATCCGGAAGGAGGTAACACTGGAGGGGGGGGGGTCTATTAGAGCTTTATTGGTGTTTATTTATTTATTTAGGTTGAGCTTGTTGATACTTAAAGACAAACGGAAACTGGCGGCGCGTGCCCTTGTCGGATGCCTATAAAGACATTCTATGTTGCGTTCAGGTGCCCGCAGAGAGCGCGGACATCTGTGTTGTCCCCATTTTAAAGCCTCTCAGCTCAAACTGACATCAGCAGCATCACATGATGAAGCCGCAGCGGACCGAGGACTCACTGCCTCGCGGCTCAATGCTTCTGAAGGGGCTCGTGGGAGCACGTGGAGGGGTTTTCTTGTCCCACGGTGACAGGATACCACGAGGAGCAGCGGGGTGCTACAGGTGGAGGATGTGGTATTTCTGAGGCGTCAGAACAGCTCAGATGTCACGTTTCAGTGAAGAATGTGAAGCTAATAATTAGATGGAAGGTCAAAGGTCATTAAATGAAGCAGAATGTCAGTTAAAAAGCTTAACTTTGTTTTTTATTTACCTGCTTTAAAGTGGAGACAGAGCATCATGACATCACTGCTGTAAAGTTACTCAACAGCGGCCGCTCTGGCCACAAGGTGTAAATACAGGACGTTTAAACCTTCAGATAGAAACATGAAACTGATTGATTGATTGATTGATTGATTAATTGATTGATTGACCTTATGGATCTTATTGTGGAGATATTTAGTCGTTCCATCAGCTCAAATAATCAAAAAGAGAAGAAGAAGAAGGTGCCAAAGGAAGAAAAAGTTGCATGGATATTTAGAATTGGTCTAGATATAACAGCTTTATTATTTTAACAGCAGGATTATAATACAGGGTTATTGCACAGGGTATTTACATGTGCATTTATATAGATAGATATTCATATATAGTTATCAAATGGTACTTGCACTTTCTAGATCACACAAGTTATTGCCGTTGTGTCACATTGTCTGGTTGCAGCAGAGAGTTTATTGTTGTTTTATATTATAAACAATTATAACATCTTAATATTGACATGAAGAATGCAGGTTGTTTATAAACTACTGATGACTATTTGGGGGGAACGTATGAGACACTTTGAGGACATTTTGTTCTCAAATTTGAAGGTTGAATGAACTTTTCCAGTACAGGAGGCGTCTGCAACCTTTAGAGTAAAACAAGATATTTTTATAGTTTTTTTTCCCATTTCCTCCATCTTAAAGTAAATAAGTTGTACATCATTTTTGTCATTATGAGATATAGAATCTCATTTTACTATGAAATACTTTATACGTCTTTTTTATGACTTTGAAAGTCAAAATTCTGACTTTATATCTAATAATTATGACTTTATTTATAAGAATATTGACTAAATCTACTAATAATGAATTTATATCTCTTAGTTATGAATTGATATTTTATAATAATAAGTTTATTATATAATAATTATGATTTTTAAAGTTGAAATCTCATAATTATGATTAAATCCAATCATTATAGCTTTATAGCTCACATTTATGATGTACCATTTTTTTAATTTCAAATGTTGGTAATGGGCTTCCATACAAGTCGTTTAGAGCAGCAAAAATTACTTAAGATTTTAATGAAATTCAACATATCTCATGTTTTCATTTTTAACAAACAAGCATAATTTTTTATGTTTTAAAATAAGCTGAAACAGAAAACTTTTCATAAAGAAGATGAATCTCTTTTTTTAATAGAATATTATTTGTGAAAGATTCACTAAAAATTGATAAATTCAGTTATTTCTTTTAGGTTAACACAGATTAACCAATCAATGATTTCTGCTGCTGATTTTTTTAGGGCTTTTCAGACTGATGCTGCTTTTTTTTGATAAAAAAAACAAAACAAATGTTACACAAATGATAAAAGAAAATAAAAAAAGAAAATCAACAGTGGAACAGGCTAACTGAGGTATGTATTAGCTTATACCGATACATAAAAAAAAAGCAAATATCGTAAATATCTGCCTGCTGATGTATCGGCATCTCTCTATAACAATCTTGTAAAATAACTTCACATAGTTTTCAAGCTAAGGAGAAGAAAAAAAAATAATCTAAAAAGGGTATTTCTGGTTTCTTTAATGTTTCTTTGCTGTGAAATGAAGTTCATATATTCTTTAACAAACAGGCTTCTTAGTTATACTGCATTCTGAACCTTCAGTGGGATTGTTATCATTTTATATATATATATATATATATATATATATATATATATATATATATATATATATTAGGGGTGGAAC